TCACTGTGTTTCTCCAAAAGTGCAGAGGAGACCACCACAATGATTGGAGAGCACCTTTCCTATGATGGAATTGGGATTGTTCAGCCTGGAAGAGAAATTGCTTMGGGGTGGTCTGTTAGCAGCCTCCAGTACCTGAAGGGAACCCACAAGAAAGACAGAGAGGGACTTTTTAYGTGTGATGACAGGATAAGGGGGAATGGATCCAGGCTGAGAGTAGTTTTAGATTAGGTATTAGGAAAAAATTCTTGACTGTGAGGGTGGTGACGCACTGAAGCAAGTTGTCCAGAGAAGTGGATGCCTCATCCCTGGAAGTATTCAAGGCCCGATGGGACTCTGAGCAACCTGGTCTAGTGGAGGGTGTCTCTACCCGTGGTAGGGGGTTGGAACTAGAGGATCTTTAAGGTCCCTTCCAACCCAAATCATTCTAGGAATCTGTAAGATTTCAGCAAATAAATCTGGGTTCACAATGCAGTGGGTTAGTATTTCTCCACTGTAAGAGCTCACTGACCAGAAGATTGTTCCAACACATCTGTGGATCCCAGAGATAAGATCTGCATTTTAGAGTTTACATTCTGATAAATAGTAAAGTAGAAGTTAGTGTCTGCATCAAAAGTATTGGCGTTACTTGCCAAAGACCTCTTTTTGCCTCCTGTCTGGTCACAATCTCATCTGAAGCTTGTTGTAACTCAGGTTCTGCAGCCTATCCCCTCCAAGGCAGGTCAAGATAAGATCAATGGAGTCCTTCATCCTAATTGAAGAGGGCCTGCTCYCAACTATGGATTCCCAGGAGCCTGTATGTGGCTAAGCTGGAGCTGGCTGCCTGAAGGGAATGTGCTGAGCTGGCTTGCTCAGCARCAGAGTTTGTGGAGGAAGAGAAAAACAGATCCTGTCTGGAGAAGGACAAGTTCAAGGCTGGGGAAAGTAGAAGTATATYTCTAGGGGAAACAGGAGTAGAAGTTTGGGGTTTTATCTAGCTTCAGTGCACCTTACRCACTGTTTAAAATACTACAAAAGTGAGCTTCCTTTTAATAAGTGGGTTTATATCTAAGTGCTGTGCTATGTCTATTCTAATTATATCACTATGTACTGCAAATGGGAGTCTTTCTCCCGAGTCCCAGTTGGAAGCATATCTAAAGATCTTCAGATGTCATTGTCTCCTGTTCCTACAGCAGATTTGGAGTTTCATCCAAAAACGGCTGCGAAATATTAAAAGCTGGAGTTTTATAAAGAGCGTTATGAAAGCAGCAAACACAAGGATTATTTAAGAGCTTTTTGTAGAACACACAGAGGTAGTAGAATCACTGGGGTAGGGAATGGTATCCCTACTGTGTTCTAATATTTTAGTGTAATAATACAATGTTTCACTACATTTTCTTACCCATTTCTTATTTTCAAATAGCACAGCCTTAATTACTTTCTCATGTTCATTTTTACTAGTGCAACTMCAGAATTATGCACTGTAAATAAAAGGGAATTTAAGAGAGTTTTGTTTCCAAAAAAAATGAGAAATGCAACAGTCTGAAGGGTAGCAGAAAATGAGCAAGACCTGCACTCCTAAATAGAATAATATTTTGCAGCTCTATTATGCCAAGTATCTACAAAGAGGTCAGAACWCTTAACATATGTTTAGTTCATTCTTACCTCACCATTCACATATCACAGATTGGGAAATACAGAGAGGGAAGTTGACTGATAGACTAATTGATTTACCTAATGTCAGGTAGAAATTGTTGCCAGAGTCTTATTTCCTAAACCCAATATTTTGTTTCAATTACAAGATCAAAGGAAAATGCAACACGTGCTGATCAATGTTCAGATTCCACCAACTGTTTGTAGAAGATTGTAACTATGTAGAGCATTAATGTGGTACAGATTGTGCTCTCTATCCCCTGGTCATACAGCGTGCCTCTGTCTCCTTCTACTGGTTTACATTTGTTATGGATTTGCTCCTACAGGCTCAGGACTACTWTAGATTTATGCTTTTGTTCAGTTAACTGGAGTTCCTGCATTGAGTGCCACAAGTCTTGGAATTTCTCAAACCAGTTCACTCAGGAGATTATTAGGTATAAAAACACTCATTTTCCATTTACAATGGCTGCACTGCTTGTTGGTTTTCAGGAGCAGTGAGTGAGGAGTTAAAAATTCACATTTGTCCCAGCCAAAAACTGATTGAGATACAGCTCATATAATTCAAATGGTTTATGCTGGTACCATTCTGAAAAGATACTATTATTTTATATATGGATATCCATAGAAAAACCTATCCACAAAAAGCTATACTGGCATTTGGTACTTAATGGAAACCATTTCATTTGAGAGGCCTATGAATGATTATTGATTTTTCTCCATCGTTCCAGCAAGGAGAGAAAACAATCCTGAATATTTTGCCAAAGCAAAGTGACAGGCATCTTTAATATAATATATACTGCACTATAATGACACATCTCATCCGTTGTACATACTATGTAACGAATCCTGTGAAATCAGTGTTCTTTGTGGAGCAAACATGGTGTTCAAATCTTGGCCTCACTGGAATCATTATACATCCTGGGTCATGCAAAGCACCACAGCCTGACATACAGACCAGTGGAAAACCTTTGGGAGATGTCATGCAGAAGACAAAGTAAATGAAAAAATATAGGCTAGGTTCTTCTTGAAAAAATATAGGCTACTGTGAGTCTGGTGTGATTATAAAAAAGATTCTTAGAAGCTACTTGTAACAAAGGAGTTAATAAATCACTGGCAGGATAAAAATACAGACTCTAAAATCAGACTAAAAATCTGTCAAGCAGACCAGTTTGGGAGATGTTCATGTGTGTAGTACATGTGTCTGAAGGGCACCTTGGGCCTTTTGGAATAGGCATTTTGGTTCTGTGAGGCTCGTTTTTTGGCAGTGTAATTTAATGAGTTTGCAATCTAATTTCTTTGCAGTGTAATCTAATGAATCTGCAATCCCATGTATGGGCAGACCAGCAAGTTGCCAGAAGAGGGTGTAGCAGGGATAAACTCAAACACAAGCATCCATCTGCGTGCCAGTATCACTGATGTGGCAAAAGAAGGACGAGTACCCAGTGTTTCCTCTGATAAATCAGAAGATAAACATTCCTAAAAGGACAGTGATAGGCAGCTGCCTGGCTTGATGCCCTGTTTATGGGAATTTGTGTGTCTGCCTGAATTCTGCCAAGACCAGATGTATGCAGGGATAGAGATTTTACAGTGATTTATTAYGATGCAGATGGTGAATTCAGAAAGAAAGACCAAGGTATCCATTTGGCTGCCAGGTTGGTTTTTCCTACCTGGTAGACGGTGTAAGACGGGGAAGAGAGTCTTGAGGTTAACCCACATTTTCAGCAACTAAAAATCCTATACCACAGTGGAAATGTAGCCTCCAGAATTTTCCATGTTCTGTTGCACTTTGCTGAACTTACGAGCACCGTATGTGGCAGCCTAAGCCCAAGTGAACTTAGACTCACCTTTCAGTTAAAATGCTCTGGAAATGCCTTTTTTCCTGCACTCAGATTAAATTAGAATGGCTTTAAACCTACTAAATACAGA